TTTTTCTGTGAGTTGGTAAACCCTGTCAGCAGCAGCTCCAGTGAAACAGTGGAAAACCCCTTTATCAAAGGTGAGAGGAAAACATTCCCATCTATTCTATATCTTTTCACCTTCAGCTTTCAAAGAAACATGACTTTCAGGAAGTAAATAAAAGAAAAACTATTCAAATTCCATAAAATTATTCTTGTATACTTTTAAAAAAAATAAAGCAATATTAATGCATATTGGATGTGAAATATTTTGACCCAAAAAAAGATGCTTGTCTAAAACAGTTCCCTAGTTTCACAATTTTTCAGAAAATATTTATGGAAGTTTGACCTTAGCTAATGAGTTAAAAAAAAGTTAAATAGTTGAAATTTATGTTCAGATTGTTAAAAGCAGAGCGACACTTTTATGAGAACATCTTAAAGATCCAGAAAAGTTCTTGGAAAACATGAGCTATTAGATTTCTGATAAATTTCAGGGAAAGTCGATTATAAAACTTCTTATATCCTATTTGAAGCTGTGAATCAGCTGGAATATACTCCAAGTAGTAGATTAAGATGATTATTTAGGTTCAAAATGTTGTTTTGAATTGATGAATAAAGTTAATGAATTTGCTCAAAACAAGATATTTCAGACTTTGCAACAATCAGCAGATGATCTTTGGTATTTTAAGCTAAAAACTCTCCTCCATCGCCTTAATTTGAGTTTTTTGATGCAAAGATTTATTGTTCATCAGAACTTTTAAATTTAGAAGAGTGGAATGATTATTGTTTCCTTCTGTTTTGTAGATCAGCAGATATGATAGAAAGGGTTAAACATTACAGCTGCTCAGAAACAGAAAAAGTTCACATGAAGGAGTATAAATGTTATTGTTTTTCATTCACAGCTGATCTGATCTATGGAAAAGTTGGTGGCTCCATTGTTCTGAATCCAGGTCAGATTTCAGAGCCTATTGAGACAGTAAAATGGAGGTACAAATCAAACTCTGTCTGGAAGAAAAATTTGAAGGACATTAATCATAAAAGTTTCCAAGGTCAGTTGACTTGTTGACCAGAATGTGTTTTAAAACCCAAGAACCTGCAGATTTTCATCATCCATGATGTCTTTATCTGGATCCTGCTTCCAGGTCGCTGTGACTTTGATAAAACAAGTGGAAGTTTGACCATCAACAGTCTGACTCTAGAGGACAGCGGCAGCTACATTGTTGAGATCAACAACAAAGTTCTGGTGAAGAAGGAACTCCAGGTTATCAGTGAGTCTCTCAGAGATGAGAGGAAAACATTCCCATCTACGTATGCTTTATTTATGTTTTTCACCTTCAGCCAAAAAAACAGCAACTTCATAGGTTGGCATTATCTGATATACAGAGAAGTTAACATGTTTTTACCTCCTAAAACATTTATTTTTCTATACTCTTTTCATCCCACTTATATTTTCCAGATCATCAAATAAATGTTAAATATCAGACAAAAATTCCGTAAAAATTCAAAAAATATCCACTGGACTTGGTTTTCAAGATTTGAAGACGTTTCGCCACCTCTCCAGGAAGCTTTCTCAATTCAAATGTCTGGATCCGCAGTGAGTTTGAGTCTTATATAGACAACGCCTTGTATCGCTTGGAAACATGCAATGGTAACCGATGAATGGGTCGTTAGTTCCATCGTTAGCCTGTAATATCTGAACCTGTCTATGATTCTAGGGGTCGGTCGTTAAAGAGGGGCGTGAAG